ATTACTACAAGATTTTGGGAATTTCGAAAACTGCGCCAATGTCGGAGATTAAACGGGCTTATAAGAAGCTTGCTTTGCAGTGGCATCCAGATAAGAATACTGACAATAGAGCAGAAGCAGAGGCCAAATTCCAGGAAATAGCAGCTGCATATGAGGTTGGTTCTTCAGTAATCTGTCCTCTTTTGTTTCTCTCATTCTCCCTGCCTTTTGGGTTCAACCCATAGGCGATCATGCTCATTTGCATATCTATGATACTATGATATGCTATTATACATTTATACTATGGTGCCATGTTTTTCGGTCCTCATGGCAAAACATCATGCGTTTAGGCAAGTTACCATGCATTTAGGCAAGTCACAGCCATGTCCCTAAGATTGAAGAATTATATTGAGACCATTTTACCAGTAGATTCTTGATTAATTTGTTTTGACTACATTAATGACAGCGGGGCATGTACCTTAGTGTTAGTTAATTTGTAAAATGTTTTTTATGACTCAAGCATAGAAATTCTATGGAATTAATCTTATTTTGATATGAGTTCACGACTATTCCTGAACTCATTCGGGTGTGTACTTATTATTTGTTGGAACCACCAGTATAAACAATTTCAGTGAAGCAGATTATTACTCTTTGTTGTGTTCTACATTTTTACCCTTCATTATCCCCTTTTGTAATCCTTTTAGCATGACGTGTCTAGTAATGGAATAAGAACTTGGACACTGCAGATTCTTGGTGATGAAGAAAAACGTACCAAATATGATATGGGCGAAGACATTGACGAAGGTATGGGAATGGGTGGCGGAGGATTTAACCCTTTTGGAGGAGGGGGCCAGGGCCAGCAATATACATTTCACTTTGAAGGAGGATTTCCTGGTGGGGGCTTTGGTGGCTTCCAATTTTGACCTCGAGAAAGTTTGGAAATATGTTTCACTGACAGCTTTTCTGCTGAGACTCCGTAGGCTATTTAGAACAGCAATTTTGTCTAACCCCAAGCTGCAATGCATGCACCTTTGCAGGCAATTTTTGCTTGCTGTCCGATTACGAAAAGCTCTTATCTGTTATCTGAGGAAGTTTAGCTCTGCGTGGATCTACATTCTGAAATTTTAAAGATCGTATTTGACTGAAGGGAAATGACAACCTCTTATTTGAATTGTAACATGTGAATATATATTTTTTTTATGGAGTTTTGTGGAAGGCCAATGGAACATGTATCCCTCTTAATACAAGAAAATTGATACTTTGTTTTCAATACTTGGAGCCAGCAAAATACTGTTGAAGTTTCTGCACTGGCGATTAAGTTTCGTGTGAATACTATTGCTCTATTTTGCTAGTTTGAAGCGTCCATCAAGCTATAACAAGTTGAAACGTTGATAGATTTTGGGAGAACCACACTTCAATAGCTAGTTGATGAAGTTGGAGAACCCAAGTCTTTATAAATCACACACCGAAGGCTCATACTTTTCATGGTGGATTCAGAATCATATCAATTTACCACGCGAATCTCAATGTCCACATCGGATTAGCTTTGCACTAGCTCGTAACTAGTTTCGAACAAATACTATGTCGACGTCACCTTCCATGTTGCTCGATTGCAATCGAGGCTTTGCACTAGCTCATGACTAGTTTAGGACGAATATTGCTATGTCGACGTCACCATCTACGCTCCTCGATTGCAATTGGAAGACATGTTGCCTACTCTGATACTATTGATTTAGATCTTGGAAGAGTCATACCTTAAAAGCTATTTGTTGAAGTGAAGAACTCAAATCATATAAACTACACACTTAAAGTTCATATTTTTTATGTGGGCGTCAAGTCGCATATTTTGTAATGGGAATTAGAACAAAATGCAATTCATTTCAGAATAAAGTTGCCAAAGAAAAATTACGAAAACTGTTATTTGTAAAAGAATTTCAGTGATTCTTGTATGCATTTTTTTGTTTTTCATAACGCGGGAATTTAGATATATTTAAAACTGAAAACAATCGTTGCATAATGACAGATTATTACGGTTGAAAAAAATTTAATTCGACAAAGAAAAAGCAAGCAGGATACAAAGAACTCCATTAGCACACACTGTACACACACTCAAAAACAAAATGCTCCCAAAACAAGAACGAGACTCGACATTGCACGGAATGCATGTTGAGACAGATGAATTCCACCAGAAGTATCGACACGAGCAGTATCATCAGTGGGGGAGGAACTTGAAGCCTCCTGTTTTTTGGGCTTTGCTGGTGCAGGAGCTGGCGGTGGAGGTGCGAAAAGACCGTGCGGAAGGAGTACTTTATCGACCTGATACACGGCTAGCTGGTTATCAGTGTACACTGTATTGGCCACTGTTGCATTAACCATATCGGTCGTTATGTTCACTTGATTCCCAGTTGCAGTGACATTGAGTGGAAATTGTCCATCATTACCAACTTGAGTTCTTAATGGATTGCTCGTGGTTTGGAATTGGGAGACGGAGAAAAATGAAGGTAAGACGTGGAATTGGATCAGCTCGACTTTCTGTTGATCGGAGAGGGAGTTTAATGTGCCCGGTTTGAGGCTAGTGAATGCAGCATCAGTTGGAGCAAATACCGTGAGACCTTCGTTTGATTTGCTCAACTGTGTATTGAGTTGATCAGACACTTGGGTGGTTTTTAGGAGTCGAATAAATGTCGTGTATTGACGGGCCTTTTGAAGAATAGCGATTATGTCGGCAGGACCGGGAGGTCCGGGAGCCGGAGCCGGACTCTGTGAAAGAGTTGGAGTGGAATAAATGAAGAATAATAAGAAGAAGAACACAAGTGGGAAAGTTGAGAAAATTTGTTCCATTTTGCAGTTGTTTTCTTTTTCCCTTTCTTGTATGTTTTAAGAAGAATGAATAAATCCTTTGGTTGAAGATGAAAGGACTCAAAGGAGAGGGCTTGATTTATAGTAAGTGGGATTCCTTTATTTTAGATCAAAAAGAGAAAAAGAAAAAGAAAAAAATCTTTATCCCATTCACTCACACACTTGGGATGGGCAATGAATGTTGAGTAAGGTGAAAGGTGCATTTTAAGGTGGCAATAATACATTGACAGTGTTAAGGCAGCTACTGGTTTGCTTACAATTGGAGGAAGAACAACTTGGCTTAGAGCCCACTGAGCAGAGTTTCTACTTTAGAAGAGTTTCTCGAGAAAGTTATTAAAATTGATGTTTGGAAATGAATTTCTTAAAAAGCTTCCTCTTCCAGATGAATTTTAAGGCCCTGTTTGTTTCCTATTCTTTGACCAAAAAAATGAAAAATATGACTGTCATCCATCACATCAAGTCACAATATTTGACTTTCTCTCTCTTGTGTAAGTCTCATAACAGCTATATTTTTCATTCTTCTTCTTATAAGAATGAGAATCAAACGGGGGCTAAGAGAAACTCACATTGGGTCAACTTCTTTTACAAGCTATTCCACCTAAAAAAAACGCTTTTATAAAATTAATCAAATAGATCCAAAAGCATCTTTAGAATTTCAAAAGCTCTTTTTAACTTCTCAAAAATCATGTCAAATGGGGCCCTTATAATGATTATTTCTTGAAGCCCATGTTTGAGCTACATTCTAGGAAAAAAATGCATTATTCATGTCAAATAAATGAAAAATGTGTGGTTAAAAAATAAAAAAAAGTTTTAGATTTACGTGTAATATTATTTTATTGAAGAATGTGTGGTTGAAAATGATGTCAAATCACTGTTGAAAAATGTATTTTTTTAAAAATAATGTGACTCAAACAAGTCCAAGTTTCCATGTTTGTGGACAGAAAATATAATCATAATTTAGTATAAGCAGTATGATTTCAATGTCAGTGATTTGATTAGATAAGGAAAAGGGTTTAATTAGTTTGTGCATCATATTATTGGATGGTATGCAGATTGGATCAACAAAGGGGACCTCCAATTAGTTCAAGAGAAACATATTTAGTACCTTAATTGGCAACGAATTTGTGCTAATTGATGACGTAGGGACAACATCCTTTTGAACAAATCTTATTTTTCAAGTTTTCATGATCTATGAACCGGAAAATATGATGATATAATGATTTTTCATTGATCTCATGTATACACATCCTCAATCCTACTATAGCAACATTAGCTTGGGAAGTTTGAGCGAGGGAAGTGAGAAATAGTTGGTGAATACGCCATTAAGCGAAAACCCCTATGGAATTCGCTAGGCTTTCTATCAATTTTATCTCAAGCTCCTACTTTAATATCAGCCGGAGCGTCTTGTTCATCTGATTTTTGAATTGATTGGTGTAGGTTCTAGCATGGGTTTAAGTCATGGACATAACTATTGAGACATAGACTACTTGAGAGATGTTAGCCGATTCTTAAGTCAAAGTGATTTATTTATGATCAATCACTTACGGCTTAAAATGTTCATGGATGAAAGATTTTGGGTGGACTGATAAGTGCATTTTATCCACTTATTTAGACCACTAAATTAGAGTATTTCTTGGAGATTTTAATGAATTATGGGTTAATTCAATGGAAATTGTGCTTTATAGGTAAAAATCCATGAAAATGACAAAATTGGAGGAGAAGAATGAAAAAATAAGGGTGAAATTACAATAAATCCAAATTTCGAGGAATAATTTGTGAATATTCAAAAGTTGTGTCGGATCTCATGACGGAGAGATTGGAGAGCGTTAAGAGCCAAAATGACAAAAGACAAATGACTAAAAAGAAGTGAAAAAGGACCAAACTGCACGGCTGAGAAAGTTCAAGGACCAATTTGGTCCCCAAGTCAAGCCCATGCAAACGCATGGGTCTGGAAGGCTCATGTAGGTTCCGAGGCTCAACACCATGAGCTATGCAAGAGCATGGCTCTATTTCAAGAAAAATTTCTACTTTCTTTTTCGAGCTTCGATTATGTATGAAATGAGTCTCAAGCATGTTTTTAACCAAGGGGGCCATAAACAACAATTTTATCACACAATATATCGCCTAGAAGACGTCTAGAGAGAGGCAAGAAGTGAATTAACACGAGTTTGAAGTTGCAAAGCTCATATTCAAGTTTCGAGTTCTTCATTTTATTCTTTAATTCGAGTGATGTTTTCTCTTTACTTTTTGTATAATTTGTATTCAAACATGTTAGTCTAAACATTATAGTGCATTAGATGATGAAGAGACAATTAAATGTTATTTCTAATTCTAAGAACAAGTAGTTTAGTTACTCTTGTGTTCATGATTGATTATGCATGCTTTTATCATTATTTGATTGCTTGATCATCAATTAAATAATTTGTCGTTTCTTGTAGTATCGAAAAACTCACAATAGATCTAGAAAATTGCATAATTGATATATAGACAATAGGTGTTAGGTGTTGGATATTGGTTAAATAAATCGAGAATTGAAAATCAATTAAAGTGACTTCGTATCGACTTCGGCTAAATACTCAAAAGCTTGACTCAATCCGTTTAGGCAAAATTGTTTGCCACTTCGCCGCTTCGGGGCGTACAAAGAGAATTTTGATTTCTCTGCATGTATTGAAGGGTATATTTGGCATTTCGAAAACCAATATCGGATGAATGAGAAATTACGAAAAAGGACGAAAATCAGTGAATAGACACCTTTTCATAAAGGTGCATTGTTTGGAAAGGGTGCATGGTTTGGCCTCAACTATTTCGTCCACACCCTTTCATGGTCTATAAATAGGACCTTTTTGGTGTCCTATTCCACACAATTTGATATGCAAAACATCTCTCATCCTCTCTTCTATCCAAAATCAAAATCATTTCATTTATTTTGATTTTCCTTCATTTCATCCTTGGAGTACATAAGTCTAAATTTAGTTCGTTGTACTTGTGTTTTGGAGTGCTACAAACACAAGTGTAGCCGTTGTATCTTGGGAGTCGATTGCCGAAATCCGTTAGCACCGTTGCGGGGCAAATTCGACTTAAGGACAAAGAGTCCAACTCTTGCCTCGGCTTTGTCCCTACTTACAAACCATCGTTATACTTATTTTGGCGTCACTATTCACAAAATTCCTCCAACATTAGGAATATCATTTATGACGTGTGCAATCTCGTTTAATAATTGTGTAATTGAATGCATTTCTTCACATATGAATTCAGACTAGCTAGGGATATGATTAGGTCGTGCTTAGAATATGTTTGATTTATCTAGAAAAAGAAAGTTAAACAATACAGGATTATCGATTATCACGTGCACTTGAACAACACCAAACTATGTAATTCGAGAATTGAAAATGGATGCCAATAGATGGATTGTGAAATCCAATACATTTATTTTATAACCTGATAAAATCACACATTTTCACGATTTGTAGCTTAATTTAGAGTAACAACAACTGTCGCAGACATCGAATTTTATAAACATCTAGTAAACTATATTTAAAACTTATTCCTCGTGGAACAATACACGTAATTCATCACGTATTATTTGTCAACGATCTCATACATTTGCGGGATTTTCACAAACATGGATATAATCGTTGCTTTCCATATTTGGGGAACTTTGCTTCATCTATGATTATCTCCCTTGTTATGGTAAGATTAGATTATGATTGTCAATTGTGAAAACAAATAATACGAGGTAGTTTTTGACATGAAAGGCCATAAATTTGGAGCAAATGATCCAAGGAAGATCATTAATTCAATCTTCTTCCCGTATTGTAACACTCCAAATGATTCAATGATCAATTAAGAAACTTAATTTGTTGGTTTGAATTAATAGATTGCACTTTTGAATAATCTTAATTTCTATTCCAATTTAAATTCTAACAAATTAGTAAACAAATAAATTAAATGAGAGTTAGAAATCTTTGGCTAAGTTAAAAGGTTTACTTAAAAAGAAAATTTTAAAATGGTTTTATAAAAGGTAACGTTTGAAATAAAATTTTTTCTCGTTAAAAATTAAAATGAATTAGCAATTTGATAGTAAAATATGATTTACTTTCGTCTTTGTGCTAATTGCTATGTTTTTGAGGTTATATATTGTCATTGTCATTGTCATTATCATTGTCATTAGTCCCATTTACCTTGAGGGTAACATACTTTCTTTACTCGGAGATGGACAGCTTTTGAAATGAGTTGCGATCCTTGTTTTATGTACTATTGATTTATATTTATATTCCACTTGATAATACTACTACTATTAATAATATAGGAATGGAGGTAGCGTCGAGTAGGTTGTTAACTTAGTTAAAACGTATCTATACAGAACATTCGTGTCTCTTACAAACTTACCCAAAACAAATCATTGGTTCCAATTGTGGCAGAATTTGCTATTGCGTTAGCCATTTTCGTTATTACTTTCCAAGTCCGAGAGACTATTGCTATAGAATCTATTTATCGCATTCAATTTTAAACATGACTCCTAGAGAGATACCAAAATACGAAATTTTTTTCCTCCTTTCGTTCTCGTGTTTCTTTTTTATTTTGATTTGGTTGGCAGGATCAGGGCCTTTCTCACTGAAAGAAGTTACTACATGTTTAAAAAATAATAATAATAATAATCCTTTCACATTAAAGTAAGAAAAAAAAGTGAATTATTGAAAATGTTCAGAACCAAAAACATTAGAGTATGCTTGGCAAGTAATTACAAACACTTGTGGAAAGTCGTACCATTTTTCATTTACATATTTCGTGGAATGCATAAGTACCATCCACTTAGTGTTTTTCAAGCGACTCTTTATTTATAACAAACATCTTATACATATTTAAGAGTAAATTTGTTCATATGCTTTAACAATGCTTTCTATTTTGACTATTCATTTTGCCTTTTTAAATATTTATTAATTTTTCCTCATCTTTTTTAACATATTTTTTTTTTATTTCAATGACCAATTCATTAAAATATGTTACTTGAAATTTGTAGCTTATTAAATGTAATTAGTGCAAATTAAGAATAAGAGTCA